CAACAACCTGGAGCTGAACACGCTCAAAACAGTGGAGATGACAGTGGACTTCAGGAAGAGCCCTCCCACCTTACCCCCCTCACCATACTTGGCAGCACTGTATCAGCAGTAAAGTCCTACAAGTTCCTGGGCTCCACTATATCCCAGGACCTGAAGTAGACGTCCAACATCAGGACCATCATCAAGAAGGCACAGAGGATGTACTTCCTGCGCCAGCTCAGGAAGTTCGACCTGCCCCAGGAGCTGCTGATACAGTTCTACAGAGGAATCATCGAGTCTGTCCTCTGCACCTCCATCACTGTCTGGATTGGCTCAGCAACCAAACAGGACAGGAACAGACTTCAGCGGACAGTCAGGACTGTAGAAAAGGTCATTGGTGTGAGCCTGCCCCCCATGGAGGACCTGTATACCTCATGTGTCAAAAGGAGGGCGGAGAGGATCACTGCAGACCCCTCACACCTGGACACAATCTGTTCAAACTCCCCCCTTCTGGACGACATTACAGGTCACTGCACCAAGACAACCAGGCACAGGGACAGTTTCTTCCCCCAGGCTGTCACTCTGATGAACATTTAACCCACAACAGTATGACTGTACAATAACCCTCAGTGCAATACCTGTATATATACATTGTACAGATTATACAGATCCATACAGGTCTCTATTTTTTAAGTACTCTTATCTTTATTCCCATTTATCTCGTTTCACAATGAGCATTCCTTTGTTTGTCTGCATTTTTTTTCTACCTGTTTATACTGCTTATTTTGCTTTATTACACAACCTTACGTTGGTTTACTGTTTACTTGCCCCTTGCATGGGGAGAAGTACATGCACATTGAGAGCCAACACATCTGGCCAATAAAGCAGATTCTGAAATTCTGAAGTCCAAAAGCCAGGGCCTGTCATGGTCTGGGGTTGTGTCAGTGCCCTTGGCAAAGATAACTTATACATCTGTGATGGCTCCATTAATGCTGAAAAATACATTTCATTTCAAATACAGTACATAGATTTTGGAGCAACATATGCTGCCTTCAAGATGACATCTTTTCCAGGGACACCCATGCATATTTCAACAAGACAATGTAAAACCTCATACTGCACACATTACTAAGGCCTGGCTGTGGAGGAAAAGGGTGCGAGTGCTGGTGCATTTTGAAACACAAATTGGGTCAAAGATGACTGTTGCATGCCTTTAGACTTATTTGCAGGAAGAATGGGACAAAATTACACCCAACACATTTAATCACTTGGTGTCCTCAGTCCCTAAACACCTTTTAAGTGTTGTGAAAAGGAACGGCAGCATCACATGTTGGTAAATGCTTTACTGTCCCAACTTATTTTGGAATGTGTTGCAGGCATCAGAATTGAAAATTATTTTTATTAAAATTGATCACATCACAATAAGGTATCAGATCAAATAATGTACTGGTGTGGGGTTTTTTTCAGTTAATACAGGACACAGATGATTTACACATCATTATTGTCAGTTTTAGTTTTGATTTTACATACCACCCCAACTTTTTCTGGTTTGGGGTTGTAAGAAGGGACTTTGGACAGGCAGAGAAGTGCAGTTAATAGAAGAATGCATTTTTTTGGCCTGTGACTGAAAGGGCATCTCAAGTTTATTACAGTTTGAGTTTTTGTTTTCATAGTTCTGCCTTCTGTATGTATCAATAATAATAATAATAATAATTATAATAATAAATGTTGGGAAAACATTGACATCAACATAGCTGTGGTCAAGCCTGGCCTTCTGACTTCAGGATTTACAGTCAAACAAAACCATCAGCACAGTTTTACACAGGATATATTTAAATGGAAGAACAGAATAAGAAGATGTGATGAGCACCTTCATACTCCTAAGGAGATAATGCCTCTAGATTTTAATACCCCATTGCCTGTCCTGTACTGCCTCCCTCAGGAGAAACTGTGTATTTTCACCAGAAAGAAAAGCTCTGTGAATAGTAATATCACCACTCTGTTGTTCAGCATCATTTTAAAATGTGGGTTGTAATAAATATGATAGTCTCAGTTTCAACAAAAAACAAGAGGGTCTCAGAGTTGTACTGTGTCTATTCAGTATGGGAAATGAAACATATTGGGTCTGAAATACCTGGTACTGGTGTGTTATGGTTTATCTATCTCATATGCATCTGTCCTTCTCAGCTTCCGGGCTACTCGTTGACCATCAGAGCACTGGATAGTGGAATCCCACCTATGTCCTCCACTGTGATGGTCAATATAGACCTTTCTGACATCAATGACAACCCACCCTCCTTCTCCCCAGCCAACCTCACTACTGTCATACAGGTAAACTCGATCACTGGCATGATATTCATTTACAACACAAAGACAAGCATGTGAGATATTAGTTGAAGAAAACTTTGCCTAACAATCAGCCACCTGTGATACATATTGGTTGGTAAGTATAAACTCTACTGCAGTGTTATAGCACCAGGCCCCGTACACAAGCAGCCTCAAATAAAAACAAGCTGGTAATTGCAGGTACTGTGTGGGCCTGCCCATGTTGGGGGCCTGAGCCCCACTATTCCCCTTACTGTAGGACCTGTCTAGCTGGATGTCACATCGTTTCAATCTCTATTATTATTGCAGCCCATTTACTGCAGTTTTATTTTGGTAGGTACATGTAAGTTGCTATTGGTAGGTCCTGTCATAATCAGTAACTGCTAGTCTGTACAGTAGGTAGCTATAAAGATCAATTTATTTAAGGATATTTTATGGCATGAATTATGCCCCCCACATTGTGTTCTCAAATTATAATTCAGGAAGTTTAGTTGGAGCAAGAGATTCACAATTTAAAACAATAGTCATGCACTTTGTTTTTTGCTCACTGTATCCATTTCTTCTGTTCATACTGTTTATTAAGAGTTTCCTTCAAAACCATTTCAGTGTAAGTGATAGAGGAGAAATTCCACCTTCCTCATTCTGTGATTATACAGTTGAGTGCAAAAGTTTGCATCCCCTTACTTTGAAATGGCAAAAAGAATAAAACAAAGTATTTTTCTCATTAACATAATATTTAATGTACATTCAGCTAGTACAACTGTTGCCTCATCAACAGAAGTAATAGAAATGGTCGGGGAATGTATCAAAAGAAAGTTATAGTGAAATAATGATCTTATCAGTGCAAATGCTTGCATCCCCTTTCACAAATACTTTGTATGTCCTCCCTAACCTCCTCCAACCTCTTTGGGTACTCTCTGAGCAGTGTTTGTATCCTTTTAGATGCAATTTTAGCCCATTCTTCATAGCATACTTGTTCCAAGTCTAGCAGATTGCTTGGTTGCCTGCTATGTACAGTCCTCTTTAAATCGATCCACAGGTTTGATACTGTAACTGATTATGATATTGTAACTGAAAGAGTCACTAGGAAACCTGCTCAAGAGCTATGAAAGAATCAAACAAACCACAGGGGACCTGACAAAAGGACTAGAGGCATCTAGAATAAGAGTCCAGTAGTCTGCACAAGTCTGGATTGTTTGGGAGAAAAGCATGCAGGAAGCCATTGCTTATTTCTAGCACACTTGGAATTTGTTAAGGAACAAGATTATGTGGTCTGAGTTGAATTATTTGGTCATAATTTGCATAGGTATGTATGGTGAGAAAAACACACCTATGGGAAGAGTAACACCATTCCCACAGTCAAACATGGTGGAGGCTCTGATGTTTTGGGAGTAGATGTCTGCATCAAGCACTTGAGCTCTATATAAAATGGAAGGAAGAATGAATGCAGCCCAGTGTCAGAAGATTTTAAAGCAAAGCCTCCTACTATAAGTCAGAAAGTTACAAATGAAGAGGCAGTGGATCCTTCAACAAGACAATGATCCAAAGCACAGGAAGGAGCATTTGTACTTGCTTAATGTGCAATGTTATGTTGATGAGAAAAAGTATCATGTAATACAAACACCGTAATGTGACCCTGTACCCCCTAACAGGCAGATCTCTCGCATGGTGTGTCTCTTTTCCCAGGAAAACAAACCAATCGGCACCAGCATCCTGCAGTTGTCTGTCATTGATCAGGACTCCTCCCACAATGGTCCACCCTTTGACTTCCATATTCTGTCAGGAAATGAAGGTGGAGAGTTTGTGCTGGAAAAAGATGGAACACTGGTGGCCAATCAAGTGTTCAGGAGGGATCTGGCAACTGAATATGTTATTCAGATACAGGTAGAGAACCTCATCACACTCACATGTTAGGGTCACATCGGTTTCATTGTTCTGAGTCATGAATGGGTCTAAAATATAAAAACAAAAAGTCTGAATAAACCTTTCACAATGACAGTCGTAAAAATCATCACTTCACTCACTGTACATCATGTTTACTGACCCTTTTGTAGGTGTTTTCTTTAATACAATTTCAGATTTTAATAGAATTGACTGTAAATAAAATATTGTAACTTCTTAAAGCAACAAGGCAGCAAGAGATGGAGGATAAAATTCACTGTCCTTGTCCTGTGTAAAACATATATTCCAAAGTTCTGCCAGAGCTAATATGTAGTTTGAGCAGGAATTAAACAAATCAAGTAGGTTTTTTCCACAATTAGACTTGTTAGTATAAAATTCCCTTTCTGTTTTCTCTGTGCTCTGACTGCATGTCTCATGAAACAGTGCTAATATGCTGAGTGACTGGAACATCTGAAATGTCATTGTTTAAGTAATAGCTGAAGTTGAAGATATAAGGTGAGTCTATATAACTTTTAAAATAAGAAATAACACAGCCATCTTTTTCTAAATAAAAAGTTGAAATTGCAAAACCAATGTACCAATGCTCAACTGGAGTTTTCACTGCTGGACTGATTGGACCAAGCTCTTATCCCAAACTATTCTTATTCAACAACAATATCAATTGTTCACTTAATAGATAATTACTGATGATATTGTTTACACAATGTGTTGAGTTTTGCTATGGAGAAGGTATTTTACAACAGCAAATATAAACTTATTGTAAATAAAGATAAGTAGGTTTATGTTTTAAATAAATCTACCCCAATCAAACTAGGCTGTAGTCTGCTGTTAACTTCCTGACCAAATAGAGGTGATGCTGAGATGTCACCAAAGTTGTTTCTTATCTCCATTTCTCCCTGTTTCCCTGCTGCTCCTAGGTGACAGACTCAGGGAAGCCTCGACTGGCCTCTTCCTCTATGCTGACAGTCAGGGTGATTGAGGAAAGCCTCCACCGGCCAGTGGCATTACCACTGGAAGTTCATATTGTCACTATGGAGGATGAGTTTCCTGGTGGTGTGATTGGCCAGTTGCATGCTACTGACGCTGATCCTTATGATGCTCTGACCTTTGGCCATGCCCCCCCAGCCCATCGCAGTCTCTTTAAGATCAGCCCTCATGATGGGAAGATCATTGCCCTGGGTGGACTGGATGCAGGCAGGTACTCCCTCAATGCTAGTGTTAGTGATGGTCGCTTCGCCATCCCTGTGCCCGTGAGTGTGCACGTGGAGCAAGCGACACCAGAGATGCTGCGAGAGGCCGTGACAGTACGCTTTGAGAGCGTGGCACCACAAGACTTTGTGGCATTGCATCTGAAGAATGTGTTGAAAGTGCTGCAGCAGGCTGCCACATCGCAACAGCAGGACACAATACACCTGCTCAGTCTGCAGCCGGTCGGTGGGACGCAACAACTGGACATGCTTGTCGCCGTGGAAACAGCAGAAGGCGGCTACTACAAGGCGGCGTACCTCACCCAGAAACTCAGTGCATCACGCCGACAGCTGGAGGAGGTTGTCAGAGTATCAGCTATTCTAGATAAGAACTGCTCAGGGTTGGAGTGTCAGGGGGCGCAGTGTGAACAGAGTATCACCCTGGATTCACACAACCTAGCTACATACAGCACCCCGCGAGTCAGCTTTGTCTCCCCACGCTTTCACCGGACCTCACGCTGCACATGCACTGGTGAGTAATACTACGTCATTCATGTGGCTACGCCTGATGATTCACTGAACTCATTCACTACAGTATGCTACATTTACCAAGCAACATTATATCAAATACCAAATCAGAAAAAGCTGGAACAGTATGCAAAATCAAAATTAAAACTGAAAATAGTGATTTGTAAACCATCTGTGTCCTGTATTAAATTTAAAACAATACAGCAGCACATTATTTGATGTGATACCTCATCAATTTTGTTCTTTATTCAAAATAAAAACACTTCTATTCTGATGCCTGTAACACATAAAAAAAAGTTGGGATAGTAAAGCATTTACCACTGTGTGATGTTGCCGTTCCTTTTCACAACACTTAAAAGACATTTAGGGACTGAGGACACCAAGTTATTCAGCATTAATGGAGCCATCACATAAGTGGAAGTTAGCTTTGCCAAGGTCACTGATACAACCCCAGACCATGACAGGCCCTGGCTTTTGGACTTATTGCTGCTAACAGTCTAGATGGTCCTTTTCATTTCTGGTCTGCAGCACACGGTGTCCGTTCCTTCCAACAAAGACTTGAAATACTAATTTGTCTGACAATACAATAAAATTGATGAGGTATCACATCAAATAATGTGCTGCTGTATTGTTTTAAATTTAATACAGGATACACAGATGATTTACTCGTTACTATTTTCAGTTTTGATTTTGATTTTACATACTGTCCCAACTTTTTCTCATGTGGGGTTGTACATCTATTCACTACACTGTACAGTATAGTGCCCTCATAAATTTCACAATATAATGAAAAGCATGTCCCCATCATATAGAGTAATCCCAAAATGCAAATTTCCTAACTTTCAAACAGCTGACAGTAGTGATGAAAAATTATGATCTTAAGTTAAGTGTCTTAAATCTCATTTTACTGCTCACTACTGAATGAACTTTTGAGTATACAGTATATAGGGAACAGTGAATGAGGGTGTGATTTCAGACAGTGCATTCTAGGACACAGCCAAAGATACTGACTCTTGTAGCTATGTAATAACTGAAATTCCAACCTTGGAACAGACATTTTCTCAACAGTATGTTGTGTGGCTTGCTTCAGATGTCTACATAAGAATGGCAGTCTTTTGAGAAAGGATGCAGTTTTGTTCCTCATTAATATTTCTGTTATTCAGCAGCCTTTAATGACTACAATTGTCCATGACCACTGTGGGCTAATCATAACAGTTTGATAAAAAAAAAAAAAGACAGTCCATTGTATTGCCGGGATGTTACTGTTATCTTCCCTTGATATATACAGTAACCTCTAAATGTACTGAGAATTTGCAATTTTCAAGTAATTTGTGTTGCACTCCTTTCAGGTCACATAGAGTGCAGGCCACACTAACATGCTGATATCAAGTGGAAGTGAGACAATATACTTTACTACCCTGAAAATATGAAATTGTAGGCTGCATAAAGTTAGTGTTCTACATAACTTACTGTGATCGATCATGTTTATGCTGTATGTATTATTTCTGAGTAAATCAACAAAATTTAGCATGCATATAGCAGATATAAGACATAACTTGCAAATGCAAAACTATTATTACCACTAAATATGCAGTAAAGGTAAGTGCAACTTACTTAAACTGCAGAAGTGAATCTCTCCAAAGTCTGCAGGCAGCAGGGATCTGGAGTAACATCAACAGGGGAAAAGGCACTGAGTCTACTGTCTGACTCTGGTACATGAAGGAATCTGGTGAGCCCTCAGGCTCCCAGATGGTCTTTTCAGTGTTCGGCTGTTGTTCGTAAAGTGTCGAGGGCAGCAGATTAGTACAAGATCTGGTATCAGCAGCAGCTAAGAAGACTTGAGTCAAATGGGGTTCGTACAGGTTAGTAATACTGAATGGTCTCAGCAATGAGTGCACACAGCTACAGTGAGTCCCAGGGTACAGTGTCATTTATCACTTGCACTGCTAAAACCTAAACCTTGTCACTCAGTGCTCAAGTAACACTAATGTTGGAATGTTTTCACTTATTTTATATGACTGATCGTTTGTAATGCACTGGGGGTAGAGAGGCACTTGGCAGGGTCCACCGGAATGACCGAGGGCAGAAGCACCTGGCTGGGTGGCCTGTATATAGTTCAGACTTGGCAAGACTTCTGTGCGTGTTCCTATGTTTGGTGTGTTCTGTTGTTGCTGTGCATCTGCCAGAGAGGAGAAATAAAAGAAAAAAAGACAAGCTTCATTCTTCAGGTTCTTCTTATAAATAGCCTCTGCTACAATGGTGTCAGAAGGTGGCAGTAAGTGGGTAAGCTTGGACATCATTGAAACAGCAGAGATTACAGCTAGAAAGCTGGAAGAAAGACTTTTGGAGCTTTGGTGAATTTCATAGATAATCAGATTATTTAAGGATGAATTTCAGTGTGGGATTGTGGGTACTGCACATAATTTCAGTGATTCCCAGAAATGTATGATCTTAAAAAAGGGGCAATTCCCATACACATTTGCTGCAATGTTAAACAGCGGTGTGCTCTAAAACCCAAACTGGGATGGTGCTGTTTGTGCCAGATGGGCTGGTTCATTTCCCCTATGCTAATTAACAAGCTGTATGCTGGGTGGTTATAAAACAACACTTACCTTCTCCCCCTCTCTACAAAGCCAGGTGTCCCCTCTGCTGTTGCAGGATCTCTTGCTAGCATATACGATCAAGTTTTAATGATGTGAATATGAAAGCATGCAAACGTGGACTGCTCGTTAGCGTAAATCTACATCAACTGGAGTGGAAACCACTCATAAAAAAACAGGTAACGAAAAGGACTCGTGCAAATGGCAGTGCCAGTGATGCCAATATTACTCCTCAGGATCTTTAGATATATAGATATAACTTTACAAAAATGAACCAGCAGTCCAAAGACGTTTCAGGCTAAATGGCTCAGAATATATTCATGGCCTGAACTTACCAACGATTAAATGAGCTGCTCAATTTGTTAAATATATGGTGCTGTGCCTTTTTAACTGCCAATGTTACAAAACTTCAAGTTGAAGTTGCTACTTGGACAGCAGCATTGAAAATTTTATTTCAGAGCTTGGACCTTACAGAGAGTAGTTTTGTTTTAAGCTATCAAGTGGAAAGTGGAGAAGAAATAGGACAGGGGAATAATAGAGCATAGTGATGAGAGAAAAGAGGGCCACCAAATGAAAGACTAAGGACACTGATGCAGCTCAAGAGAGAAAAAAAGACAACAAATTATAGCCATGGTTCAGAGAATCCCTTAAATTTGAGCAGAGTGATGAAATGCAATTTCAGGTAAGAACAGGACCAGGTAAGACCTGCAGTTAAGCTCACAAGTATTATCACCCCAAAGTATATAAATTCTCTATACACTATGTGAAGCATTTAAGGGGGGAATCCCCTCCCATTCTGAAAAAATGAATTTCAGGCCGTGTTACCATCTGTTTAAGGTTAGTTAACCTCTGTTTGCTTTGGTCAAAGTTCAAAGTGTTTATTTGTCATATGCACAGTTAGGAATCGTGTTTCCCTGTACAATGAAAGAAAGTCTTACTTTGCCGTCCACATGAATGCCACAAAATACAAATGAAATATAAAGTAGATAAATAAGCAACACAAAATCTAAGACACTTTAAGCAGCAAATGCAGCAATATGATAAAAATATATAAGAATATAATAAGAGAATGTATGCTACATGGGAGCAGCATGTGCAGCAGTCAACAGTCAATGTGCAAGCTTTACTACTACGCAGCTTTACTCTTCTCCGCAGTCTGTACCACTCTCTGCAGGCACTTGCGGTCCATAGCAGTAGTTCTGCCATACCAGACAGTGATGCAGCTGGTCAAGATGCTCTCAATGATGCAGCTGGAGAAGCTGCAAAGGGTCCCATG